TATTTACCTCTCACTACTTATAAATATTAGTATTTGTAATTTAATAATTTAAAATAATAGTTTATAATCGTAGTACCAGAACAGAGAACTGACCATAAATAATAATATGTAGTATAACCATCGAACGACCTGTGACCTAGTGGCAATATCGTTAACCTTATTTCGTGCGGACGAAAACGGGTCTGTTTTATTTACGCTTGTCAACGGGAGTGCGAGCTCCTTATCTTTATTCTTCATGGTATCCGCAAACAAAAGTCAAAGCATTAGACTCTGGTACATCAAGGTTTCTATAGTCAACATTACCTATCTTTAAATTAGTTGAACAAGTGATTGGCGTTTCTTCAGGAAATATTACACTTGAACTGTTTGTTTGCTCTGCAGGATTTAAATGACATAATATACTATCTAGGTATTTAATACAATTTGCGTCTGGTGAATGTTGGAAATAATTCAAACAGAATAATTTTTTAAAGGCGCAGTAAAATTGTACAGATGTAGGATTTCGATTATTTCCATTTTGCAACCTGAACATACCAAATAAATTTTCGATTCTATCTTGATTTAGACGGGAAGTACATAAAAAAAAATCTTTATCATTTAAATCCCGTTTTAATGAATCCCATAACATAAAAAGACCATTAATGGCAATCAGCCATCCATTTATGAAATTCATTCGTGCTGTCACGTCAGTGCCATTTACAGAAATAACTCTCAACTTTTCAAATAATGATAGCATCATATTTAAGTGATCTCTCTGTAACTCTGTATTTTTGAAAGGCCTTCTATAATATTTATCATTTGGTATGTTTGAGGAATTAAATATATCAAAAAGCTTATCCATTTTACTTATGAATTGTATGATAAAATTAGCTTCAAGTGGTAATTTTTCAACTGCCAAGTAAGTGAACATTCCTGCAGCAACACTTTCACTAAATACCTGTGCAGCTAACTTTACTCTCATTTTTTCAAATGGACCATGATATATGTGAGCATAGGTTAACTTAGGCGCTAGTCTCAAGTTTAATTTTGAATCATTTTTGTAAAAATCAGCTAAAATGTTACTATTGGTTGATTGATCATCAATTTTAAAATAGTGTTTTAAAAACATATTTCGAGTTGACTTCAACGAATGGGGAGGATCAAAAATATATATAATTTTTTGTTCGTTTACATTAAAATATGGCCTGCTTGGGCTTACATAAACTTTTCGACTAAAACTTACAAAATTTGAACCTTGATCCGTTATAAACGCTTTAACATTTAATGAAACATTTTGAAGTTTTGGTAATTGTGGAAAATATTATATCATACAAGTCTTTTACTTCACAACTACTTGAAACTAAAAAAAAAGGCAATTGGTTGTTTCCAATTTAATTTAATACTATGAATCATTAAAACCAACGCATATTTAGCTGGTGAATACTGTTTTGTCGAATTTGTTTGATGAAATCCTATAATTTCATCTTTTGTAAGAGAATAAAATAAATGGGATTTTAATGCCATTTCATCTGCACATAAAATACAGTCACGTGCATCACTATCAAAATTAGACATTTTAAATTGTAAAAATTGAAAGAGAAAATCATTTAACCCTGGATTAAGTTCATATTTACTAGTCGCTCTTCTTATAGTCCTAATAGTAGGTAAACTAAGGTTACATTTTGAAAACCTATACACACTTAGTCCTAAGAAGTAAATAGTTAATGCAAACTGCTTAAAACTATTTGAATACCTGTAGCCTTGAGGTTTCTTTTCATTACATACCATGAGGGACTTCTCTATTGCCAAAACAGTCGGTGCCAGATGTTTTTCACAAGAATTCAAAAAATTTTCATCCGTGTCATATTCACTTAACTGATTACTCAAATTAAGGACTGTTTTTTCTGCTTTTCTTCGAGCTTTTCTTTCTATGTTCAATTGTTGTCGTAATAGATTTTTCCTATTCGTTTTATTAGACCAGGATTTAAGAGTTTGCACAGATTATGATAAACCTAAAAATTATGATTTTTAATATTAGAATAAAATAAAGAAGTAAAAAATTAATTGAATACTAACTTGAACAAGATCTAGATGAATCAAATGAAGAGGATGGTGTAAGATTCAAGTGTACATCATCAAAAACATCATTTGTATGTAATGCAGAAGTCATTTGAAGTCTAGGCGTATCCTGTACAGTTGATGATGGAGGATCTAAATGTACACCATCAGAAGAATCATCTTTGTCCAATTGAGATGCTAAGACTTCAACAATGGAGGAAAATGACGATTTAGTTTGGGTTGAAATGGTATTTTCAAATTTTATCTGCCTTGGAAGAAGTCCCTGAGTTTTATCTAAACAAATGTCAAATACTTAAACAACATTAAAAACCAATATAAGAAGTATGGTATGTAATAAAATATTAGATTGTATTATTTTCTAATTCAAAATAACAATACATTCTTAAACAGTATAATATTATTATTCCTTACCAATAAATAATACAGGTATAGCATGTGGCTGAAGTCTGTTTTTTAAATCGTTTAGGAACATATTTTCTTCAAAATACTTCCCACAGACGCTATAACGTTTTTTAATAACATCATCTATTGAAATTGATACACCACAATTTTCAATCCATTTTACACTTCTTAAATCAAATAGAATATGGTTTGTTTTTAATATAATTAACAGTTATTTTGATTAGTATTAATTACGTACCTGATAGAATCATTTTTAGGAAAAGTGAAAAAACTATTGTCCTGATTTTGAGACATTTTATTATCACAATTGTTTACCACACATTGAACAGTCGATATTTTCTTATTATTCATTATCGCTTTTAACGTGTAAACTTGCATCAATAAAAGAAATAAAAAAACACACAAAAATAAAAAGTTAAATTGCTGTTGAACAAGTAAAAACTTTAAAGATTTAAAATTTAATGTTTTGAATAAATGTAAACATGTTTATCAAATGAATAATGATAACTGATAAGATTTTTTCCTGTTAGGAAGATGGCCGCAAATCCGTCGCGATTTTCTTTACATCTAGAGTGCCCTTTCTGATTGTATCTAATATCTATTCTGTGATTATACTACTACTGGGTGTGAAATATATATTCAAGGAAAACAACTTGAATTATTTTTTAATGGGCATCGAACATGAGCAACTCGTCCTCTATAAGTAGTTCATTCATTATTTGTGTTATCCAATGGTTTAATATAAATAAAACGATGAAATTAAAAATATAAATAAAGAAATGTAATTACAGTTTTTAATTTAAACAAATGTTTACTGATGTACACAATGTTGTAATACATTTTTCAACATAAATAATAAAAAAATTTATATGATTTAGAATTTAAGACAACGGTTTTTGGCACACGTGTCGTATGCTATCTACCAAATAAATCCTATATAAAAATCTACAAACTCAAGTTACTAACCTGCTCTATGCCTGTTGGTTCACAGTTGTACTATTTTAAATAGCCCGTTTGTTAACAGTTGTTCATATTCTTTTTATTTTTTTACAAAAATGTTTTTTTACGTCTTGTAAAAAACATTCAAAAACATTTTTTCGATTGACGGATCTCCACCATTCTTCTTGCAATTGTCTTTCAAGGAGATTGGTCGCTCCACGAGCTCTGATTCGATACTTAACTTTCATGTGTTTCCATAAGCATTCAATAGTCTGTGTTTGAGCACCTGTACGTGGATCTATAAAGTTTTTGCTGTGGTTAACAGTATGGTGAAGAAAACCATGTTCTTTAAGAGTACTGTAAGCTCTCCATTCATCTGAATAAATTGTGGTTTCAGATTCTATTTTTTGCACAATTATGGGAAGTAATGTTTCACGATCTCTTTTATCAACTATAAAATAACGGCGCTCCAAAATATTATCTTGACGTAAGCAGCACATACCAAACACCCTTGAACGCGATTTCCGTAACTTCTATTTTGGTTTTCAATATTTTGATTTTCTTCTTCAGAACTTGAATCAGAATAAGAATTTGCATTATCATTAGGTCTATGATCGCCAAGCCGTAATCTGCCTCTATTGTGGTTTAAGATGGCATGGACGTCAAGACCATCAGTAAAGGAATAACCGGCATGAAGAAAGCCAAGAACGGCGGAATACTTATGGAGGTTCGCGGTGACGAAGCAGCGGTAGAGGCAATAAGATCCGAGGTGGCCAATTCAGCGGGGCAAGATGTCAGCGTTAGGCTTCTAGGTCAAAAAACGATGATCAAAATCCGGGACATTGATGCGTGGACCGACAAAGAGGAAATCGCTGATTGCATCGCAAGAGAGACTCCAATTGCCAAGGAGAACATTAACGTTGTCAACCTAAGAGCTTCCCATGGGGGCAGGCAGACAGCATTGGTACTCCTGCCCACGAGACAAGCACGCGACGTTGTTAATAAAGGTCGGCTGAAGATCAGCGTCGTCAGCTGCAGGGTACGACAGGCAGAAAAAAGAAATGTAAGGTGTTTTAGGTGCCTTGCTTACGGGCACGACACCAAGACATGCCAGGGAACAGACCACGGAAAAAATTGCAGGCGATGTGGGACAATAGGACACTTGGCTAAAAACTGCAAAGCGGAGGCGGCCGAGGCTGCGGCTTTCAGGTCTATGCTGGAGAAGGTGTCGATGGAGGCCCGGGCAGGAACCGGGGAAAACGAGGCGTCGTCATCTGGTCGTGATCTGCAATGATTAGCATTATGCAGATTAACATGGATGGCGGGAGAAACGCTCAAGATCTGCTAATGGGCTAACGAGCGTGGTGCGGATGTTTTGATCGTCAGCGAACCTTATCGCTGCGGGACAGAGGAGAAAGACTGGTTTCCTGACACTTCAAGCAGAGCGGCCGTATTCATTGCTAACCCCACGATGCGAGTGCGAGAAATTGGTCAACGATGGATTCCGATGGGTTGCCTTGGACGAAATCACAATTTATTCATGTTACTGGTCACCTAACACAGACTATACGTTGTTCGTCGAATTCTTAGACAGGCTCGAGGGGAGCGTTCGAAATACCCAAGGTGCAGTTATAGTTGCCGTCGACTTCAATGCCAAATCCCCAGTTTGGGGTGACCACAGGGAAGATCTCAAAGGCCAAGCACTAGGAGGCATGATGGCAAGCATGGACATGGTGGCATGCAACAATGGTGGCATGCAACAAAGGCGACAGACCTACATTCTGCCGAATATACAAAGGAGGAATCTCAAGGTCGCACATAGACATCACCTTTGTCTCAGGCAACGAACACCTCAATGTTCAAGACTGGGAGGTCCTCGAGGATTGCACAGGGTACTTGCACAAGTACATCGTTTATAATTTCTCGAACACGAGACGTACAGAGGAACATCCGACGGAACCAAGGTGGTCCTGGAGGAAATACAATAAGGATAAACTTATACAGTACATAAACACTAGCAACATAGAAGAGGGAACAGATCCGGTAACTGCCTATACTGCGCTCGACAGCTACCTTACGGGGGCGTGCGACAGCTGCATGCCCAAAGGCCAGTATAGAAGAGGCAAGAAGCCTGTCTATTGGTGGAATAGCGATATTGAAAATCTAAGGAAGGACTGCAAGAAGGCAAGGCGGAGAAGCAAGAGGATGCGCCACAAAGCCACCGAGGTGCAAGAACAGTGTCTCAGCGACTTTAAAAACGCAAAAAATGCACTCAGAAAGGCCATCAAAAACAGCAAGGAGTCCTGCTGGAGCAAGTTGTGCGATCAAGTGGAGAAAGACCCCTGTTCGTCAAGGTTGACCCTGATATTAAAATTAATATAATAAACTAAAATAGTTTGTACAATATTCAAAATATATTTTCATTGGGTATATATTAATAAATATTAAATATTAATAATAAATATTCTTTATATTATATAAATACATTTAAAATAAGTATACTTGTATATCATATAATTCAACAAACGATTTTACATTTTACCACACATCAAAAAAAACATATGTTGGAAAATGTTGGACTACTAGGAAATCTTTTTTAGGGCCTCATAATATAAATAATGAAACATAAACAAAAAAGGCATCATTATTTTAAATATATTACTTTTATGCAAACAATTCTTTCTTACCTCTGTTTTGAAAATAAATGTTGTATATTTTGTTATAATTTTTCAGATGTTTTGGTGTTCTTAAACGAAGGTTTCCTGTATTGAGCAAAGGAATAACAACTAGCCTAATCAATTCACAAGCAATAATTGTGTCATGTGCTATTATTCATAACATCTGTATTGACCTACACGATGAACTTCCAAATGACATCCTGCAAGAGGGCTACGATATTGAGAATATTGCAGAAGATAACCTTCCAAATTTAATAGAGGTTACGAGAGGCAGACAAGAACGAGATCGTCTGGTCAGGGATCACTTTGGCAATTTAGAATAAAATTGGCCTTGTATTATTATTAAATAAATAAATAAACATTACCTACAACTCCTACATAACATATGTAGTTGATGCTTAACCAATAAAGAGAAAAAAAAATTAATTGTAAATATACATTTATTTTTCTTATTATGAGTCTTTAAGGTTTTTTTAAGTACTTCTATTTCCAACAACATTTTTTTTTTTCTAAGGCTACAATTGTTTTCTTGATTTTATTTATTTCAAATTCTTGTTCCAAACATTTAATTTGCAATTCTACTAGCCTGTCTTTGTTCTGCAATAATGTTGTTGCCTCTGCAGTCCTACTCTTGAGACGTTTGTCTGAAATGTATTAAAAGGCTTATTAAGGTATGTAAAATAGTGTTATTCAACATTATTTTAGAATTTGAACTTGCTAACTCACTTTTGATTCTGAGAGGAGTGCTTATCTTCCGTTTTAAACTTTGAGGTGTAACAACATTCCATTGCAGGTTTTTACTAGTACTTGCACCTTAAAGAAAGTTACATTTTAAAATTTATATTATTGTCAAGCATATAATTCATACATAAATTGATCACTACACAATTCCGTCTGTTTGACATTAGATGTCACATTTTCAGGTGTTACAACATTCCATTCTTCATCTTTACTGGTACTTGCACCTTAAAGAAGGTTACATTTTAAAATTTATATTATTGTAAAATATATAATTCATAAAATACATTGGTCACTCCACAATTCTGTCTGTGTACTATGTAAAACTGTAGTTGACTCTGGTTCTGGGTAATCTAACTCATCAGGTAAAACTAAAAAAAATATTTTATTTATATTATATTTTACTTAACACAATTGGACCTGTTATATTATGAAACATAAAATTACCAGTAACATAGAAATTGTCATCATCCCCATGTTCATTGTGTTCAAACATTACAGGGTCTGAAAAATCAGTCAAAATGGATCATGAAAACTATAAAATTTTTCCTATTTAATTTAATATAACCTTTTTTAAAATAGAGACATATGGTCACCCTAACTACATAATACAATATTACCTATTATGTCATTGTCATTGTCAGTATCAAAAATAGATGCCATGCCATCGACAGACAGTTGGATAATGCCCTTTATTTTTTCCTCAACATCATCAAGGGCTTGAGCCTGGTTTTTGCCACCACCTGTCTTCAGACTTTCCAATCTTTAATAAGACAGCAGAAAATTTACAAAAGTGAAAATAGATGTGAATCGTCACAACATAAATCTCAATTGTACTTACCTTATTGTCGCACTTTTTTTACGAACAACTTGTTTTAAATTTTTATTACATAGCTGTAATTGTACGACAGTTCTTGGCACTATTAAACCGACGCTGTTGAACTCTGCAGCAAGTTGAGCCCAACACGACTCTTTTTCTTTCCACATTACTGCGTCAGTTTTTTTATTTTCAATTACTTTTTCGTATTTCTTAACCAGTTCGACAAGCACAAGTCTTCTTCTGTTTTTGAAAAATTAACATTTCTTTTGCGTTTGTTTTCCATATTAAAATTGGCTGTAGCGAAAAAAAACAAGGCACAAAGAACACGACAAAGGCACAAATTACAAGCTTGAAACTGATGACAACAGACAAAAGAAATTAATTAATTAATTAACGAATTACAAAAGTAGAAAACGAAAATAAATTTGAAAAAAGAACGGTAATCTAACAACTTTATCAGGCTTATTATCAATTTTATCAGTGAAAAATAAATGTTATCATTAAAGGCCTCCGGAACAGGCCAATTTCTGGGCCAATCGTAAGTTAACCTCATGTTAACTAACTCTCATACATAAACTCGAGGTGAAACCGAAATAATTATAACTCTGGGTTACTGGATAACTCGGAATTAACTAATCTAAACTTTAACTCCTACGTGGTGAAACCGGCCATAAGTGTTTCTTGTTATAAAAATTATGCATAATTTTTACATATTAATTTATTATGATTTATTATAAATATTCATAATTCATTTTCATTGATTAGAATATTATGTTAAATATTTCATATTATAGCTTAAAATTAATCTAATGTGTATAGAAAATAATAGTATACGTTACGTCAAACATGTCTCTATTCCGAATAATGTATAATATTGAATTACAAAAAAAAAAAAAAAATAGGTGACACTCGGTATTTTCCGTTTAAATATGCAAATTCGTAAAAATTTAAACTTCAAACGCTCATAACAAATGTAAATAAATTATGAACTATATTTTCTATATTTTTAATAGATTTTTAATTTTTAGTTATTCAATCTGTTGGATAAAGGTTAGGTTAGGTTAGGTAATAATCTACATTTTAAATAAGTGACCTGATCGATCTCAAATAAACATTCAAATCAGTTATCAGATGTCTTATAGCGTTCTCAGGTCCCTCGGTATGAATGTATGATTGAAAAAATTTTTGTATGTTTTGGTTGAAATAATTTTCCGTTTGCAATCCCCTTAATGTATTATCTGATAAATAAGAATAAATTATTATAAAATGTCTGAATTAATGGGAATATAAAAAGATTATTATAAGAATTAATTATTTTAAACTAAAATAGAATAATTATACTACAATGAACATTATATGTTTATCTAATTGTAAATAAGAGTAGAATATTTGTAAAATAATATTATATCAATAGTTTATAACGAATAATTCTTAGGCTGGGAACACACTGTCCAGTTTCTATGCAGTTTCAACCGCAGAGGTAATAAATCATCTGGGTCAACCGGACGCCTTTATTCAGCTCCGTATTCCCTGCACCCCCACTTCAAAGTTTTGAAATTCGAAAAAACCCGTGCTTTTAATATGCATTCATTATGCTAAACACTCGTTCAACAGTTGCATTGGAAATTGACAATGTTAATGTTTTAATTGCAAATTCACTCAACTCTTTGAACTTCAATTCTCCTTTAGCAGTTGACAATACTTTTAATGTACTCCACATTTGAATTGAAGATGTTTCACTAATTGACATGCCTGGGAATATTTCATTAAATGTTATTGCTCCTAGTTGTCGCCATTGCATTTCTAAGACATCATTATCAACACTTCTGTCTAAAGAATAATAAATTAAAAAGTTTTAAAAATACTTATTAAAGATAAAAATAAAACATAATTTAAACACACTAGTTAAGAAAAACTACCTGCTAAATTCAGAGGAAGTTCGCCAAATGATGGTCTTTGATTTGAATTAAAACATTGATGAGGGCAGAAATATTCTACTTTTTCAATGGTAGACATATTATCTGGTAATCTGTTGCAAAGCTCATGACATAATTTTAGTAAAAAGTTGGTACATCTTTGTTTTACAGTATTTAACTGTAGTTGGTTGATATTTTTGCTTTTAATACATAATGTGGACTGAGTTTCAAATTGCCAACCGTAATCAACACAATTATTTGAAAGATGAGCACCTGGAAATCTTAATGCATTACGCACCGCTTCAATATCTGTTAGTCTGAGAATTTTTCTTTGAGTATTTTCTTTAATAATTTGACTTATGCTGTTTGGTTTCAATACACGGCGAATCAATGAAATCAGTAAATTTTTTAAGTCACAGTGAGCTTTAAATACATCGATATTTGTACCTTGAAAAATAACGTTCACTTGAGTTACTTCATGTAATATTGGCTTTAAAAACATCAATTAAAGCTAATTTGATTCATCTTTAAACATATCGCTCAAGGTTCTTGATGTGTAACATGTTTGTTCTCTGCTTTGAGACACTATGTTAAAATGAGTTTTTAATGGTAGCCACTGACCCAATATTGCCTTGACACAACCATACCACGCCAACCACCGGGTAGTAGATAGTTGAACCAGCTTGGGAGGCTTTTTTCCATCGTATAATGCTGCAAACAAAGACTAGTATGTGATTTGTCTCAATGAACTGTGTGAAAACCAGTTCCTGTGAACTCTCGAATCAGAAATTCCAATGTTGAAGGAAGTTCTTCGCATGCTTTGGCCGAACATAAATTTAGAGAGTGGCAAATACATTTGACAAGTACAATATTTGGAATAGATTCCTTAAGTAGAGTAAAGAGTGAATGGTTTCTTCCACAAAGGTTACTAGCACCATCTGTACCAATCCCCATAAGATTTTTAATATTTAATTTTGCCTGTTCAAGGAATTGTATGAATATATCCTTCAATATATCTGCGGTAGCTTTATATTTTTTAATTTAATCTAATTTATCAATTTCAACGAATCCTAAGAAATCTGTTACCATATCAGATTGAGAAAAGCTGTAATACCGGATACAAAATGCCATATACTTATGAGTGCTTATATCAGTTGACTCGTCTAATATAATTGAGTAAGCATTTTGACCAACATCTTCAACCAGTTCCGTTAAGTACGCTGGTGCTATAACGTGTGTAATTAACTTTGTACACTTAGTTTGATGAAGTCGAAGAAATGACAAAGGATTGTTATTAGAACCATTTATATCTTTTTGCCTTAGTAACTCACCAAGATGATCAATAGTCCTAAAAGCTGAATGTGTTGCAATTAACATACTCAGTTTCGAATCTCTTTTTTTATCAGCATCAGATTTGGCTGTAAAACCTAAAATAAAAAATGTTATAAAATGGTCAATGTATATTATAACCGAGTATATATTTTATCAAACAATTTTGAATTTTTCTTACCAAACGAGACGAGAGGTAGTTGCTGTTCAACAATTAAATTGCTAGCTCTTGATTTATGTGTAATCATGTTTGCATGTCTTAAGAGATCTGTTTTATCGGCCCTTAATACAGACCGACAGAGCTTGCAATACGCTTCCCCTTTATCTGCAACTGCATCTGGCGCACGTTGAAGCCAACCTAATAGTATAACAATAATTTATTATTCATTTGATAGCTTACTTTTGACAACACAAAAATTACATTTTTGAATTGAAATAAATGTATGTATAATGTGGATAAATCGTAAACTAAAAATTGTGCCACCTATGATAAATACAGTTAGCATTACATACCTGAAAATGTAGGACTATTTTCTAAATCAGCGTTGTACCTTTTTTCATACTTTGAATACTTAACCATTGTAAGTGTAGTCGTGTAGAGTCAATTCGTAATAAAGACACACAGACGAATGAAATGTAAAACTTGAAAAATGACATAGGTACCCAAATACCCAATGGCCAATACTGATAATTATGGTGTGTATAATATATTTTAGTGTATTTACAGACGCAAGACAATGCATCTTGGATTTCCCGAATATCCATCTTCTAAAAATAATTATTATTTTCACTTACAAAAAAAAATGATCGGCAGTCACAATCACAAATCACAATGGAATTAAATGTTAAATGATAACGATGCAGTACATTTGTGTACTTATATCAGTCGTCAGAGTAAACAGTAGTTATAGACTTTATATTATACCAAGTTCTTATTTTACTATTATCATATTATATTTTTGTTTGGTTGATTGGATTTTCTTCATAGATAATAATTTATTATCTATGATTTTCTCACAAATTTGAACACTGATAACTGATAAAAAAAAAATTTTAAAAATTAATTTTCTTATCAAATTGTTGTTATGAACCAATTAAACAAAATAAATTATAACATTTCAATAATTTTTAAATGACCCAATAACGCCAAATAAAAATTTCAAATCGCCCAATTGGCGACCAGTCACCAATGCTGATTTTTAGGCGCCAATATAGGTTCCAAAATCGCCCAACCTGGCAACCCTGGTTCTAAGACGACCGAAAAAAACGAAAATGTCACAATTGTAAATGTATTGTATTTGATAACAGTTGACGATAAATCAGATATCAAAAACCATAGTTTACTCTATATCTAGAACCATGGTCATAATAATAATTATTAAGGTCACAGATAACATGTAAACACGATAGTATTAAATTATTGGTTATTGCACTGTAGCAGTGTAGCCACAACATTACTTAATTGATGTAGTTGAAAAATCAATTTATATTTATAAATTAATTTTTATTTAAGTTTATTGAGAAAATGAAATTAATTTACTATTATACGTGCCAAGGGGGGGGGGGTGCAGACCCGGAGTCCACCCCCCTGGTTGCGCCACTGTGTATTTATAATACATTTTAAACTATTCATATTATGAGGTATAGGTAGACAATTCATAAGTTTATTAATAAATAAAACAAAATAATTCACACATTAAAAAGTTTAATAGTTACTTATATTATACCTAAATGCACAATAAATATTATATATGAATATATTTCAAATGTGTAGTTATATTTTATAACATTATAATACATACCTAATAAACAAATTGTATTTATGCACACATAATATAATACAATACTTTTAAACTTGTGAATCATAAGTTATGGTATAATAATAACCTAAAATGTTTATAACCTTATAATGTAAATATTATTAGCCAATAACCTTTGTTGTTGAGGTTTTAAATAATAAAAATAAAAAAATATAACTAAAAAAAACAATTATTGTAAGAAATATAAATATACTGTTAATATAAACAAAGTAATTAATGTATAGGGGTAATATTATTAATAATACAATTAGGTATATAAATGCTATAAAAGTATTGAAAATGAAGCAATTTACACATTATATACAAAATAAAAAAAAATGGTTACAATAACGTTTGTTATAAAAAAATAATATTATTTCTGATTAATAATTAATTTTTTACTATTTTATTTTCCAAATAGTTTTGTTATAATTCATAACATAACTCTAGATACTACTACTTAGAGTCACATATGTACACCCATTGGGCATAACACTAATATTGTTGGGAATATGTGAATACAACATATGATGATAAGCAAATACTAAACTATTCTCATGTTTAATTTCAAAAGAAAAATAATGTTCATAAAATATTATAGTTTTTACTGACAAACATTGAAAAATTATAACTTTATTGTAACAAATATAAATATCATCTATTATACCAAACTTGGGTAAATTATTTTCATTAATGTCAAGTGTAAGAACCATTTTGGACTGATACTTGGTACCTTTTATACAAATCCAGGTACACTGTTTTAGGGACTCAAACGAATCTATTTCCATAAATTCTTTTTTTTTTTTATATCAGTATTACTAATTATCTTCTTAGAAGGACCAGATTCAATATTATCACCCAAAGTTCTTTTAAGAAACAAATTGTTGAGTTGTAATTGATGCTTGATGACCAGGGGCGGACTGGCCCGGGCGGAGAGGCGGAAAAGTCCGCCCGGGCCGCCGGCGCGCACGGGCCGATAAGAAAGTAGGATTATTAATAATTTGTACTGCAATAATATGATGGAATAATTTTTGATTTTATAAGTCGACGACTTCACAGCTGTTGTATACAAAATAAATAATAATACAAGAGTATAATATGACAGAATTGGTACAGAGTTGGTATCGTAAAATGTTTATCGAAACAATAATAGTCAAATAGTGAACAGTATCCCCGATAAGAGAATCGTTAAAACTATTTTAACCATTTACCGAAATTTTACGTAAACGTTTATTAATAGTCGTGAAATTTATCGGCACACCCAGATGGGCCTCGCGGCACACCGGTTTGGATACCCTGCGATAATGAGTTATCAGAGATAAGCTAGCAACGGCTGTATAATAGTTACTGTGCTATTAATAGATAATAACCAAAAGTAAATACGGTTGTTCTGTTGTTGTGGGGACGTATTAATTGGTCTCGGTCAGTACTCAGTAATCACGATTCCCAATCGTCATTCGCAATCTGTGCTATCATTCTATCAAGTATCGATTCAATTTTACAATTATTTTTTTTTATTTTTTTTGTTACATTTAAAAAAATTACTTTTAAAATGAAGAAAATTAAAGGTGGTGCTGAAAAGTGCCGTATAAGACGAGCTGCTGAGCTACTTATTGTTGGAAATGACAAAAATCAAAGAATGCTTAACTTTTTTAAAATTAAGGTAAGTCGTTTGGTGATTTTTTAGAGTATTAAATTCTAACTTGGGTACTTGGCTAATTATTTAATTTTTTTTTTTGTATATTTATAAACTCCTATTTAACTAAGGTTAAAATATTTTACATTTACCTTAATATAGATTTAATAAAATTATAAACTATAAAGCAATAGACAACTTTTAAATTTAAGATGTGGTATACTGTATACAACACTTGTTCAAGATATTTAAATATATTTTAGGTAAATCTAATAAACTTGTATTATTAAATATTAAGTTTAAAAAATCACTGCCTCCTACCTACTTATTTAATTT